CGGGTCGCTAACCGAGCCGTTTTACAGGGGAAATTCAAAGCGCTTTGGCGTTTTTCTGCCGGGGGGCAGGGGACAGCACCCTCCCCGGGGCAGCAGCGTGACAAAGCAGCCTCCTCCAGGTTAGCGCCCGCCGCCTCTAAACGCGCCCTTGTCCGCAGGAGCGCAGCGCCGCGCGTTTCCCGCGCGACAGGCGCGCAGCTCCCCAGGGCGCGCGCTCTCGGGAGCGCTTCGCAACGCGGCTCGCCGAGAGGAACCCCGGGTGGAAAACCTCCGGCTCAAACGAACGCTGCTTGTGCGGTGCAGCCTGTTTGCAAAGGGCACGCACCCCTGACCCAGGGGGGTTCCGGTTATCTTGTTAAATACCCCCTTAAACAGCGTGTGATAAATTCTGGGCTGAGATCTGTTGAGCTGTCATCTTATCTAATATCCTTGTTTGTCCCTTTTAACAGTAAACATCCTCTACTCCAGTTAAAATAACAAGCTTTGTAATGCTGACTTGCTTCTTTGATATTTATTTGCTAACTAAAGCTACTGTTACTGATCTGTGATGTCCTCCATGCTTTGCATAACTTTGTGCCACAAAAGGTTTATTTAGTATTACCAGTTCACTGATGACTTAAGGCATCTTTCAGGTTTAAATTCCCCTTCGCACAGACACTAGAAAAATCTAGGATGCTTTACCAGGTAAAAGTTTATGATCCCAGAGAGAATCAAGCCTAGTGCAGAGGTGCTAAATAAGATAATTTTATATAAATAACAATTTCAAAACATACATACAAACCGGAAGAGAATAAGCAGCTGCATTTGCAGTATTTCATCAGAGTAATTAGCAAAGTATGACATATTTTGCAAATTTGGGAAATGTAATGCTGCTTTACAGTAACTTGTGTTGAACTGAAGGTCTAGACCATGCTTTATAGCATGTTTTAACTTCTGGTCCTTCCTTATTTTTCTTCTTATTAGAGAATACTAAAAAGTTAAGACAACTTGTTATCAGAATTCCTTTTTCATAATGGGCGATTCACAAACATTTGGAAAACGGGCAGATATTACTGTGTTTACCATTCTGGTTATCGAACAGGTTGGCAATAGCCGTGACATCCCTACGTTTTAGCCAACGCTTGTTTCCCCTGTGCCACTCTCTGTCCCTGCCATTATATCCCCAAATGACCTCACCTGTGCAGTTCAGCACCTACTGCTCCTTCACCCTGCCTGGGCTCCCAACTCCGTGGCTGCCTCTAAAGCCCCTGCCAGTACATCAGTTTTTGCAGAGCCTTTGAGCGGCCACACAGGAGCAGGCCTGAGGCAGCTACGTGGTATGGTGTGTGTGTACCTGTTCCAAATCTCCCTGGTTTTCACCTTATTCAGCATCAGGAAGTTCTGTGAAATCAAACACGCAATCGCTAAGATTCCACCTCATTCAGCTTTACAGCAGGGAGGCACTCGATGAGCCACTTAGAAATGCAGCAACTGGAAATTCCAATTCACATCTACCAGGAAGTCAGCTAAGGAACAACCTGTTTGTGCAGCTTGAAGGATCGTTACACCGCAGCAGAAGCTGCGCCTGGATTCTAGGTCTGAACGCCTGGCCGATTCTGTTCCTCGCATTGATCCCTGTGATTTGATGCTCACTCTTCCCTGGCTTCACAGAGGACATCCTGGCCTTCCATGCCAAGCAGAGACAAGCAAGGGAGACGAGGGCCAGCTCTGCTAGCTCAGACTTTCATTTCAGGATCGGTGCAGTCCCTCTGTGGGATCCTGGCTCCTTGAAAGAAAATTGCAGAATGAGAAGATGGGAGTCCGTGGTATTGCCACCACACAGTGCTTCGTCTTGTGTTCTCACTCAAGGACGTGGCTCACCCTCTCCCCAGCAGATCTTTTGACACAGAATCATTTGTTCAACTTCCAGAGGACAGCAGAATAAGCTAGTGTGGCGCCAGGACACAGATTGGATCCCAGTAGGAAAAAGCTCCTTGATTTAAATGCTGGGAATGCTTGTCACCAAAACTTCTAGTATGTAGCAACAGGGCTTAAACAAATCAACGGACGAGCATTTTCTGAGTAGTGGTGACTCATAATTCCTTTGGCTTATCACATCAATTCTGTATAAACTGAAGAGAATGTATAAATTTGGCCTCTCAAACTTTTTAGTGTTTAACTTCAGTTCGATTAAACACTTATGTATGTGTACAAAGTGAAAAATGGGGTTACAAGAGGTTAATGCTTTAATGCTTTTAATAACTCTTAACCACATGGCTGTATTTTGTCAAACAGAACACGGACTTGTTCTAGCAGGAAGAGTGTACGCTGGATAGAAGCATTCTGAGGTGCTCCAAAACAGCAAAGCTGCTACAGGACCCAAAACATTTCTAGGCCATCTTTGAAAAATCATAAATGGTATTTCTGTGATGGAATAAATACATAGCATTCCTGAGTACAGCTGAGGAGGTTCTTGCTCGCAGTAGGAAAATCAAAAAGGAGAGGAATCTACAGAGACCAAAAGAGATTAGTAACAGATACAGCAGAGAATCCGGAGCACAACACGGTACCTGTAAACCTGGGATGAGTTCAGGCATCGGTACCGAGGACGTTGAAACAATGTGCACCAGGTAATGCCCGCAACTTACCGAGGAAGTGGCAGAGGAGTAAATGATGGATAATAATGCACAGAGGGATTGAATGGTTGGAAATGGCCACAGGCAAATTTCTAGGACAATTCTTGGGTTTTGGGTAAAATCATGTTAACCATAGGTGTGGTCAGCAGAGTTTGAAAATTTTTGGCTGAGTCTCTGAAAGAGCTATGCATTACTCACACAGTAACGCAGCAGACATTAGCTTTTCAAAAGCTGAACGCGGTATTTCTAATTTCCACTGCAAGTCCTTCCTTGCGTATCTAGCAGCCAAATACTTCAGTAGCTACAGCTTGTTTAAAAAGCAAACCAGACTTCTCTCTCACACCACACACCCCAACACTTTTTGACTGCTTCCTAGCCTACACCTCAAGGTGGATTACTGTTGCATAAAACAGAGTCACTCTGTGACAAAAGTTATTACCAAGAAACTCCATCTTATTGTTCATCTTAATTATCCTGTTTTGATAAATCTTGAAGAGTCACCCATTGCACCACAGCATTTACATTTATGAGTCCAATATTCCTTTTACTATTAAAACAAATGTCCTTAAGATGGAATCCAGGCTGGAAAAAAAGGGAAAACATTGTAACTGATAAATTGATATATCCAGCTATTTCAGTCTCTCAGCAGCAAGCCTCCACTGCTGATAAAATGCTGACCAAGGGATTCCACAATAATTATTTTGTAATGCTTAATACAGAGTGTCAAGATACTCTGCTTGATGGAAATTGGGTCCAGGACTTGGCTTCTCTTTGCTGTACCTACAAAGAAATACAGTCATTTAAGAACCTCGATGCTTGAAGTTACATTTACAGGTACTCTCTATGGACTACCAGTTCCGAGATCATCGCGGGAGATCGCAATCAAGCTTTAGCTGGTATCTTTACTTTCTTCCACATTGTGCCTTGTTGAATACCGATGCACTGGAGCGTTTTACTGACAAACCTTGGTCTTCCTGCCAAGGGGAAACACATAGATTTGGCACAGGGTATTGAAAAGTAAGGACACCCATACATTTTGTTAGTCTTGAAT